AGTTCTGGGAGTTGAAGTCCACACATCTTAAAGTTGCCAAGGTTGAGAAACATTGCTCTAAAGTGAATCTGATGCAAGGAAATTCTATCCATCTGCCATTTTCTATTAGAATCAAAATAATTTGTATGTGGTCACATAAATTTCATTCCCCAGGAATATTTCCTGTATATCCACTAAAAAGTCTGGTAGAAGGACATACCCATCTGAGGAATGATTCTGAGTTCCATTTGCCTACGAGAAAACAATACAGCTTATTTAAGTGAAAATAGTCATTAGTACGCATTAAATAATGTTTTAATAAGCTAATGGTTCCAAACTTACGCAAAGGCAATAGTCATGATATTTGCTTACATATCTAATCTACGTAGGAATCTGCTTTATTGGTAGTAGCAATAAAATTTTATCTGCTGGAGAATTGCATGGTTAGTAATGGATGAATGCATTTGTCTGTGATAGCAAGATGCATTTTGACGGTATAGTAAGTTTCTTCTTTGCAATTGCTAACTGACATGCTGATTTACAAATTGTGGCAGCCTGGTTCTCTCCAAATGTGTTGGACTTCAGCTCCCATAACCCTAGACAGCAATAGTCATGCTACATCCATGAATATCCATCCCAAGATACTGATACTGGGAGTTGTGGTTTTCCTTATCTAAAGAAAGGCACCAGGTACACAACAGCTGAACTGTAAAGTAATCTAGCTGGACGGAAATATAATGACTCTTCACTAAATGAATATTGCCATGAGAATTAACAGTGCCCTTGAACAATGTATGAGATCGTAAACAATCAGGCTATTTGAGAAGACTTTGTGCTTTCCTTTTATAGAGCAGGCAAGATTTTGCTTTTGCTTCAGAAGCTCAAAGCCAGGCACCTGCTGTCTGTAACATGGCTCTCTATGAGAGACATTGAGTTTAATTCTGCTCTGCCTGTGGTGGCCTGCCATTCAGGAGTGACTCACCTTAGCCATATCATTGGATCTCCAAGTGGATCTGGGAGGTTCCCATCCATCTGAAAATGTGGGTATATAGGGAGGGAAGGATTGTTCCTTTGGAAATTCTTCTCTGTGAGGAAGAAGAGAACTTTTTGGGTAATGAAAATGTGGATCAAACTACAATAAGTCCAGATCATCAAGGTGTTTCCTTCAGAATTTCCATTACAAATCCAGTTAAATGATAGGGTTACTAAAAATTATACAGTGAACAAAATGCAGGATAAAAAGGGTAATTTCAATGAATAAGAATCCCGCTAGGTTTGACCAAAAGTCCATACTGCTATCTGAGGCAGTGGCTTTGCATGATGCTAATGGGAGGGCTCTGGCCACAGCATGGTATGCAATGGTTGATACGCTAGTTTAACTCAGTTTCTTAACATTAAAGAAGCAAGCCAATTGCACAAGCCTTGTTAACAGGTGACATTCTTACCTAGTTAGAATCCAAGCAGTTCCCAGATTCTTCCAAATAATCTGCTCATCATAATTCAAGAAGTGCCTGAGCAAGTTAATAGCTGCAGGTGTCAGCAAAGGTGAGGCTACTGTAGAGGCCAGGTTCGTCCAGGGGCATCTGGACAACATCTGAGGAATGAGAGTACACATGATTCGGGGAACCCAACGTCATCATGTGGTCAAGCTTTTTGGGGGGCGGGCTTGCAAGTGGAAGTCACAGATTTATCTGTGCTTTTAACAGTTTTGATACATTGAATGCTTCCAAATAGAGAAAAGCTCTTATTGCTTTAGAAGGCACAGTATAGCTATTCTTTTTTCTCCATAATAGAATTGTGTTTTGGAAGGAAAAAGATAAAACAAATGGTAAAGAAATGCAGTACAGTTAGAAATAGAGCATGAAGTTATCTGGGGAACTGCCTACTCTACACCCTCCGTGGAAGCATCTACAGAGATGGCTAAAGAGATCTCCACTCATGTCTTTTTTTTGCCTTTTCCAAAGAGATCTCAAACTTGTTAGGAAAACTTCTTCACAATTGGCCTTTGACAACTGTCGTCTTCCATTTCTCACATGCAGAAAATGAGGTAAAAACAATGCTGGGAAGCATTCAGGTCGCTTGCAGTTCGGTCCTGAATATTAGGAAACGGGATTGCTAGAGCAAGGAAAACACTTATCAGAATTCTGGGGTGCCTAACTGATTTAGAAAAAAAATACTCTCTATGGTAACTGCAGCCAGGTGATTATATGCACAAAGATGGAAAAACACAGAAGTGGAGTCCTTGGGGTTCTCTGAGTTTGGTAGTTTTCAGTGCGAGTGAGTAGCACTGAAGATGTTACCTAGTCAGGTAACGAAGCATCTGCAATCAAACAACCAAGGTCAGGGAACCCCAAGGACTCCACAGTTCAACCCTGAGCTACACATATTCTCTTCTTTTGGAAAGGCAGAAGTACCCACAATGGAGGAGTGGACTGCGAAGATAGCAGAACTTGAAGAAATGGCAAAATTGACTGGTTTGATTAGGGACAAAACAATAACGACTTTTATAAAAGATTGAAAACCTTTTATGGACTTTTTGCTGAAAATGGACAAAAATGAACTGGAAATGATCTCTGGATTTGCTGATTAAAAAGGATTGAATATGGGAAGAAGGGAACTATCTAATGTAATTCTAAAGGGGGAGAAATGATAAAAGTTTGTTTGCAATTGCTGTAAAGAAGATTGGAAGCTGGTTTTTTAACTTTATTTTTTCTTCCTTCTTGTCTTTATCTGTACTGTTTCTAGCGCTTCTTATTTTATCTTTTTCTACTTTCCTTTTATATATTTTTTCTTCTTTATCTTTTAATGGTGTAAAACTTCCAATGAAAATAATATAAGAAAAAAATGCTCTCTATTAACAAATGGATCTTTTTAAAAAAACGACAATCCTCAGAAGCCTCTAGAATTTCTTGCCTGACTACCGTACTCACAGTTGTTAGAGTGGAGAAGATGAGTTTGATCAATTCAGGAACACTTGGCTGTTGTATGATTTGTTCAAGCTTCCCCTGCAAAAGTGAACACAGCTCCACAATTGTTATTTCTGCAATTTTGAAAAACTAATTCACAGACTGAAGAAGGAGGGGAGTAAACCATTGACAAGTCCACATTAGGGGTTGGGGGGGGGGTTGGTGCCTTTGAATCAGTGTTGTTTCTGATGACAACCTGGACTAATTCCTGCAGTTTTCTTGGCAATGTTTTGGAAGTGGTTTGTCATCACCTCCTTCCTAGGGCTGAGAGAGAGTGATTTGGTCCAAGGCCACTCACCCAGCTGGCTTTGTGCCTAAGGTGGGACTAGAACTCATGGTCTCTCGGGTTCTAGCCTGGTGCCTTAACCACTACACCAAACTCCTCATAGTCATATTGCTTAAATGTAAAGAAAGGGTGGCCCCAAGTCCACTTTCCCAAACTTGATGTCTTCCAAGTGGCTATATAGGCTGGGAATTCTGGGAACGTTGGTCCCAGCCATTAGGAGAGTGCAAGAATGGAGAAGGAGGGTGTGCTAGCTTTGATTAGAATCCAGGCAAGAAACATACAGTGCTCTGCCCCTGTGTTGGCAAAGAGCTTGACCTGCCAATAACTGTATTGAGCTTGCTTATTGAGCTAATGTTTAGTTCCCTTCTCAAAGAAAAATATGCAGGATGGACTAAGAATTAGACTGGACCTGTGAAGCTTGCTCTGGATTGATGCTTTGTCCTGGCCAGGATTCTGATTCTTCCAGAAGGGAAACAGAAGCAGGCCTTGCCCTGACCCTTGGCTGGAGAGTGACCCAGCCACAGCATAGATTGGTTTCACCCAGTGTTTCTCGACCTTTTTTCACCTGTGGCCCCTTCCAACCTAGTTTCCTCCTGTGGCCCCTCGGTCCAGGTCCCATTACTGGATACAGACATGGGACAGTAGCTGGTGCCTTTTCTGGCATCAAGAAGACATTATTTGCAGAATAACACACCTCGCTATCTGTGGCCCCCTCAGCAGGTGCCATGGCTTCCCATTATATGTTTTTTACCGGTGGCCTCCTTAAAATATCCTAGGGTGCCTAGGGAGCCACCCCATCCCGGTTGAGAATTGCTGGTTTAACACACTGTATGAACATAGTTCGTAAATCAGGGTCTGTTGTGTAATTGTTGTGTAAACACAGCCAGTTGTCATATATTTAACAAACCATCATTAAGCAAAAAACTGGGTTAGTATGATGTGCTAGTGAGTAACTACTGGGAACTTGGTCTCCTGTCCCCATCCACCAGTTTTAATGACTGGGGTTGCAGCATCTTGGGAAGGGGATGCCGGATGCTGCTGGGGCCCAGGGAACCCAGAGTCACCGGGGATTGCATCTTTCCTCCTCCTAGCAAGGCCACCCGCAAAGAAAAATGAACTTCCCCTTCACTAGAAGAAAATGCTGGTTTTCAAGTTCTGTTCATCTTGGTGTCTATTCTTCAGCCCTTTTCCTCCACTCCTCTTTCTTTTTGGGAACTGTTTAGGAGGCTCAGGTAACATAGAGGTTGGGCTTACACAACATACTAACCCATGATTAAATGAACAATGGTTGTCAGATTAACTTTATATGTTAATCCAATGCACTGAGCCATTAATAAACCTCATCAGCTAGATTTGCACAACACACTACAGTAAGCCAATCTCATTTTAATCTAGTGTATGACACAGATCTAGCTATGGCATTTGCTACCAGTAATGTCTTTTCTCCTTCCATTTTTTTTTTAAGCAGTAGAAACATAATACTGTACAAATGAACAAACAAAGGGAGAATCTTAACCCTCTCCCTTCTGTTCATTTCTGGACACCAGATTCCTGCATCCACCCACCTTAGCTGTCTATAAGAAAAAAGAAACAGGTCGAATGGGGTAATTCTGATGTGAACCATCAAGACAGTAAAGAACTTTGGTGCTGCAATAGTGCCTTGTGGATGAATGCAACAGAGGTAGTTATGAAAGAAAGGAATTGGAGGAAATGACAGGAGATAAAGTTCAGATCACATTTAGGGTCTTAGGATCAAACTAAACAAGGTAACAATTCATTAGAAAATTAATTTAGTGAGTGGCTTTTTACAGTAGATACCAGGCAGAGGGATTGATCTGTTTCTGGATCATAGGGAAAGGTAAAGATGATGTTTAGGATCCTTTACTCTTCCCCAAGGTGGTCCTAATGCAGATTATTCCAGCTGTTTCCACTGGGGAATAATTCTAGTGATGCACATTGGGAGGTGGGGAGAGGTTCTGTTCCAAATTACACAGAGTAGCAGTCTGGATTACTTTCCCCATCCTGTCTATCATGTCTATTCAAGTATTCAAACATTGCACTTTATTTGGCCTTCTGATAAAGTAAGATCTGTACCATTTGTGGACCATGCTTGTAAACATAAATGTGCATAGAATTTTAACTGCTGAGAGTTTCTTGGGGAAACAATTTTCATCTGAAAAGCTGGATTAAATAACAACAAGCACATACACTATATTTAGATACTGTATACAATTATATCTGGTGAACATATAGGGACATCTATAATCCTTCTTCTCTAGTCTCTTAATTTCTTATCCTACGATCATAACTTTTCAGTTAGTTAAAATATTCCTAAATTAATTTATCAGTGGCAACAAACAGCTACAGCTAAACAGAATGCAGCTCTTTGTGCTGCTGCCCTAGATATTTTGTGTGGTGGAGTTCATGAAGAGGAGTTCTTTTCTTAAGAAATGTAGCCAACTCTGTTGGCAATAGAGAAATTTCTGCCAAGGTCAAACAAGCTGCAGACCTACCAGCAAATTGAAGCTGTATTTGACCTTCTGGAAGCAGTCTTCAAACTCAGATCTTGAGGGCAGTGCTGCTGAACCAGGGAGAAATATTAGCAAGCTCATTCAGAAGATAAAACAAAGTAAGGCTATTGACAGGTATCTCCACATGCTGGAGATTCAGGTGTGGTAGGGGTTTGTGTGCGTGTGTCTGTGTGTGTACACACACACACACTACACACATACACACACATACAAAGACATTTGTAATCCAATTAAATCAAAATAATCAGAACATAATATTAAATAAACTGATTTAATTCCAACTCTCTTGCTTAGTTAAAAGGCAGTCTAAATTTGAAGATTTGCTGTGGATGAGATCAGTATAATATATAAAACACACATTTTATACACAGGAAAATTATCTGATAAGGTATTTGATAAGATATAACATTCTAGCAGTCAGAGAAACAAAATCATAGGATGTAAACTATATGGATCTAGACACTATGTTATAATTTTTATAAAATAATGTACCATTGGTATATGACACCAGAAAAACTATCTAGAATATATAAAGGTACTTCAAATTTATGTTGGAAATGTGAACAATAAGAAGAGTCATTTTATCATGCTTGGTGGATATGCAAAAAAGAAAATTTTGGGTTCAAATACATACACTGATTCAGAGGATTTTAAAGATTAACATTCAACTGAAACCAAAACTTTTCCTCTTGGGATTGATGCATAAGCAGTTGGAAAAAAGTCATGCAACATTGTTTTTATATATGAACTGCTGCAAGATTATTGAATGCACAAAGATGGAAAGATTTGGCAATACCTATGACAGAGGAATGGTTGGTGAAGAGGACAGAACTCACTGAAACGGCCAAAATGACTTGTTTGATTAGAGAAAAGACAATATCTACAATTATTGATGACTGGAAACCCTTATGGACTTTTTGTATAAAAAAAATGAACTTGTGATTTATGGTTTGGGTGATTAGATAGATTATAGAAAGAAGAGAGTCATGATGTAACTTTTGAGAGAGAGGTCAGTTTATAATTATACTTATAAACGCTGTAAAGAAGATTGGAAGCCACTTTTTAATATCTTTTTTCTTTTCTATTTTTCTGCTACTCTTTTTCTTTTTGAACCTTTAGTTTTTACTTTCATTTTTTCTTTCCTTTTTCACTCTGTTTTACTTTGTATCAATCTTATTCTTGTGTTTAACGTTTTCAATAAAATTATATAGTAAATTGTATAGATCTAGAATACAATCAGTATTCAAATGTGAAATTGATGATCTAACAAAAATAGCAACTTATCACTAAAATGTGTCTCCATAACAGAGGATTGGTGAACAGCGCACGGAACACCAACGTCTAATAAGGGAATCAGGAAATCTTAACAGATGATAGGATACAAAAAAGTGATCATGGATTAAATAAAAATATTCAGGAAATTGAAAAACCAAGCAGGCTGTATATAGCTCCAAAAGGATATCTCAAAAATAGTGTGATCTGGTGAGAATAGGGCAAATGAATTTCACTGTTGGGAAACATACAATGATCTATGTTGGATCTTATGTTAAACCCTCTGTGGTGTGACATGACTATGATTTACCAGGCAAAAGAGCTTGAGATTGTGATAGAAAATTCAAGGAAATATGCAGCCATTATTGATTGATTGATTGATTGATTGATTGATTGAATGAGGCAAAATCCATGATTAAGGAAGGAACTAAAGTCCCAGGACTGTAATGTCCTGGGAGTTAGGTAATTCAATAAAAAAGACTGGCAGATGGATATCCTGTTCAAAAGTCTAGTACCCACAATGAACTTCAGAGTAAAGAGCTTTTATCATGTCTTATATTGCTTGTTCCTTCCTTCACATTACCTCTCTCTTGTCCAGAATACTCTGAAAAGAGACTATTTTCTGGGGCTGTACAGAGCTTCAGTTCAGAGATTTGAGTCAAAGGTAGTTTGGATCAGAATCAGTTGACGCCCTCCCACTCTTTATTTTCCATGAGGCAATGGAAATTTAGAAATTTACAGTTGCCTACTTGCTTCTGCTCTGGTGCCTTACCTTCATTGCTATAATGTTCCTTTTTCTTTTTCTTCTTCTTCTTGTCACTCTGGGAGTTGTTCTTCCGCAGCTTTCTTACAAAGGACTCTATATCATCTAGAACATGGTTCAGGATCTCCTGTCCCCGATGGAGGAAAAAGAATCCAAATCAAACACTGTATCAATGGCCACTTATTGAAAGCTTTTGTGGGGAACCACTAAGAGCGTACATTTTTCCTGCCCTCATGCAGAGATTTAGCATTGGAGGCTATGCTTTCAACTGGGTTAGGGTTTAATTTACTTCATTTGGTTCCTTGTCTGAATCTGGGAAAAACAACACTCATAAAGAAGGGAAGTTAAAATGTACAGAGACATTTTCTATCCTTTAAATATTACTGATCTCCAGATCAAAGGATTATGATAGTCCTCTTATTATAGGCTTGTAATCCTGGCCTTCTAGCTAAACATCATCCTAGTTCTCTACTATTTTTCCAAACTATTTCTACAACTTCTTGTCACGCTTTCTTAGAAGTGGTGCTTCATGATTGCAATCTCTGTTCATCAAAACAACTATGTTCAGACTTTGTACCAGTCAGGATAGCTGTCCTCACAACGGGAGACTTCTAGTTGTGTTTGGACTAAAATTCACATAATCTTCAAACAACATGGTTAACCTAAGGAGTTGGGAATTTCTAGTCCCAAATATATTTTAAGGGCACTTGGTTGGAAAAGGGTAATATAGATCTTCAATATACCTCTCTTATCCACTCAGCCTTCAAGACTATGCATTTTTGTTGCCCTACTGGTTTAGATAACAACATCCTGCTCTCCAGGTTCCTACATTCTAGAGTAGGGACATGTGTTTTGGTATGGGGCCAGCAGAGAGTTGGTATCCAAGAAAGGACAGAAAGTACTTACAATTTCTGTACATTTATCCTGCCTCATCAGAGATAGCTCAGGATCTTCCTGAAATAGTTCATGCTTCTGCTGCCGGCCAAATGACTGTTCAGCTTCTGCAATGTTCAAACTCAGAATCAATAATGGATGTGCCACATCTGGCAGACTTTCCATTTGGACTCTTGCCCCAGTTGTGCATATCCCAGTTGGTTTTAAAAAGGGTGCATAACCACTGTCACCAAGTGGTAAAAGAGATAGCTGTCATTACATAATGAATGGATATCACTTAACACTGAATGACATGCAATGGAAGCTGTGAAAACCCATTCCTAGTCACAGTTAATGGGCCTTGGGCTCTAGATCCTGGGCTGAAGCATACTGAGACTGCAATCTTGAGTCTTCAGCTGAATTTCCATTCCCTGACTTGCTTTTTGACTGACTAGAAGCATCTCTATCTTTTCTGGATTAAGCTTTAATTTATTTGTCCTTATCTAACCCATCACTGACATCAGTTCAGGATTTCAACAGCTTCCCTGAAATCTGACATTTTAAAAAAAGGAAACACATTACTGGATGCTATCAATTTATTGGTGACACTAAACCTGAACTCTCCAGGACATTTATCCCAATAATTCCATGCATATATTAAATATCAGAGAAAGATAAGATAGAACATTGAGGAAAACAACACGCCAATGGCATATTATTGAACAGGAGTTCCTAAACCTGATTGTTGGAGAAGCACTAGAGTCCCCTAAAAAGGACTAGACACAATGGAACTTAGTACCTCCAAATTCCAGTTTAGCTAGGAGATCCAAAAGGATACCACCAGGTAGAATTTACTACCCTGTTCTCATCCAACTAGATCTCCACAATACAAGCCAGATCAGCATGCTAAACTAGGATCAGGTCTTGGATGGCTGTTATTTTCTACTGCATTCATTATTCAGAGTATCTGAAATGGGAAACTGTCCAGGAATAATCCAAGCCCTATTATACACCTATCCCATATAAATAATCTAATCCTTTCCTTTGGTCATATCTCTCTGTACTCTATATTGTGACAATTGTCACTCCCTCCCTCCATCTTTTTACTTTACTTAGCATACATCTCTTCCATTAGCAGGCAACATTCCAGCAAAGAGGTGAAAAAAGGACCGCACAGTTACCATTGTAATCCATGTAGGGGGGCTCCATTTTCCAAGGTTGCTGCTCCTGCCTCTCCCAAGGAGAATCCTGAGGAATCTGTTGGCCAGCGTGAGATACTCTGCTCTGCTGATACAACATGTTCTCCAAGTTCATCCTGAATTATAATAATAAATCTACATCAACATCAAAATCATGCCTTGAGGTAATGAATAAGTGTCTGCAGCAGAAAGTTAGTACTGTAGATGCCCAGCTCTTCTGTTACCTGAGCATATCGTGATTCTGCCGTTCACTTCTCCATTCCTCAATAGCTTTCTGTATTTTGGTTTTCAACAAGTCAGCCTAAAAGAAAGTAGAAGTGGTCTTCAATACTATGCTGTGCATTCAAAAATCTATCAAAGTTTCTCTCACAAAGGTCTCTCTGGATTCAGGCCTACTCCAAACTGGAATGGCTACTATTATTGTCCAGTACAAATTCTTCTCAATCACTGTCCTATGACAATAGAAGCACTGCAGAACATTTTCCTTTGGATAACCTTTTCACCCCTTTGATAATTGTGCAGGATGTAGGACACATACTTGAGCACATTCTTTCTTACTCCTATAAGAGAATAAGGGACTAATTGCTTTTTATTTCACCTTCTTTTAAACACCAGGAAGAGAGTACGCATTAGGATTTGGGCTACAGAAGCTTTCCCCCATGTTTATTAAAATCTGACAAAGAGTGCCTTGCTGCCAAAGGGGAACAATTTCCTGACTCTCCTAGTGCCATAGCTCCAACTGAGATTTGCTAGGACTGCTATTTTTTAAGACAACGCTGAGAACTTCAGATATATTACATGCAATCATGGATTTCAGAGGAAACTGCAATTTGTCTCTAGGCCACCTTCAAAGGTGTCCCCTTCCAGGTTAAAGATGTGCTTACCCCAATCTGCTCGCACTGAAAGAGTAGGATAGTAGTCTTGTGCTGGTTCAGTTCTTTCACAGAAATGGCCAAGATGGAGTTGTAAATACAACTGTTAAGGAAGGAGACACATTCCTGGACATCTTCCAAGGGGTAGCAATCTAGCTCTTCCTGTAGGCCAAGAAAGAAGCACCCAGGAAGTGGCAGAAAGGGCCAACTGCGGCTTTCCAGGTCTGACGAAAGGGACACAACTTTCCACGTCAGTGATCCATGAGGAACATAAGAGGATACAATAGTCCTTTGCCACTCCTTGGCATTTTAAATGTCTTAATTAATAGCAATATCATGGTCACTGTTCAGATATTTAGACTTAGGTGCCCCACATACCCATCCCAGCTTGTAAGAAAACCTAGTAAGGCAAACTGGGTGTGAAATAAAGCACAGAGAAGCTTTGTTTACCTCAGCCTCTATGTCGGTCAGTAACAACATGTGCTCCTTGATTTGCAAAAGCATGTCTTGACCCCATACTTGACTTTGGGCATCCATCATCTTGAGTCGCTCAATACAGTTCTCTGCATTGTTGATTTCTTTGCCATCAACATTACAAGTCAGAAGGTGCTGTGGATAAAATATGGACTTTGGTCCTTTAGTACATAAACTGAGTGAGAAGTACACTGCAAATACACTACAGTGTATAGGAAGTACTGCAAAGAAGGGCCATCTGTGCTGCATAGCATATGCTGTCAACTTTAATTGGTTCAGTATATTAAACAGCAACATTTTTCAAATGATTAATTGATGTTGGAAATTTTATTCAACAGAGGCAAAGTATAACTGATTAAACTGTGTAGGACAATCATTAATTACATAATTGTTTAATATCTAAAAGTAACTTAAAGTTGTTATTTACTGTAATAAGGAATGAAAAAGAAAACATCTATCTATCTATATACTACTAAAACTCTTGTGCTTGTAACCTTCAACTGGGTGAAACAGTGCAACATAGGGCAATAATTTTTGAACCAAGGTACCTCAAATGGGCTAATTTACAGAATGCATCCGAGGGAGGGAGGGAGGGAGGGAGGGAGGGAAGGAAGGAAGGAAGGAAGGAAGGAAGGAAGGAAGGAAGGAAGGAA